AAAAACATTTTTACACGAAAAGCGTAGAAAATTAAAAGCAAACAACAACCATGCATACGAATATGTAGTACCAACGGAATATAGCAACAAACGCTAATGGGAGGCAGGAAAATCGCAAGCGAAAACAGCAGCAACAACAACGAAAGCGAAACGTGGCAAAGCAGAAGTAAGCGCAAGCAAAATAAATTCCAATAAGAAGAAAAAAAGCAAATACAAATAAAAGCAAAATAAGAAAACAAACGCAAATACAACAACACCAACAACAATAAAAGCAAACGCTGCACATTCTCCACTACAAACTCAGGCAGTCAACAGTCCAGCAACAGCAATAGCTACAGCAGAAGCTCAGAGCTATGCTCGCACAGGCAGCAATAATGCCAACCTGCTCGCGCAAAAATACAACAATCACGCCAACAACAACAACACCACTCGCTTAGCACTTTGTCGCTTCGCACCGCCCGTACAACTTGCTGTTAATGCCGATGTTGCCACATATGTGCGTGTGTGTGTTCGTATGCGTGCGCCTGTAATGCCACTGGAAGCGCTTGCACTGAGGCCAGCACCCAATAACCCCACACACTAGTCGTCTCACTCCCTCTTACGTACCGCAAATATGCGCGCAGGCAATGCAGGCGAACGTGCTCTTGCGCTCTCAGCAATGCACACCCACCCATCTTTGAGATGGTTTTGTTGTAGGGAATGGCAGCAGCAGCATGTTGGTATTGTTGCTATTGTTGGCTGATTGTAATGTTGGTGTTGCTTGGCGTTGCCGAGTTTTAGGGGTTCACAACACAAGCGCAGCACTACAACAACACCACAATGTAGATAATTGTATTTTCCTTTTGGCCTGCCGCAACAACACAACACAACATACAACCAACGAGCGTAAAATGTACACACACGGCGACGGCGGCAACAGCGACGACGACGGCGAGCGCTTAGCGCGAAAGGCAAAGGCAAACGGCACTCACACACACACACATAGACACCGTTATTGCCGTTAGTGCGTCCACATGTTCGCTCGCAACAGTTCGGCGCAGTTCGTTTGACTCGCTGACCGTTGCTCGTTGCTTTTCGAAGCGCCTCTCAGTCGTTCGTTGGCCTACCAATTAGTTGTTTGGTTCGATGCCGCTACCTTTACTCGTACGCTCGCTTCGAACACCGCCGCATGCACACACTTCCACAACGCCAAGTGACATCGAACTGCAACGCCATGGCATGCGACTTGTTCGCACCTTTTGCACGCTTGCTTGTCCGCCCATTCGTTGGGCGCGCGCCTCAACTGTGCGCTGGAATTTTCATTGCCCACAAACAAATACATGCTCATATGGGATGCCTATCACATATTCGTACATGCATATGGTTCGAGTCGCGCGCGGCCTATGCAATGTGGGTTGGTCGGCGCTTGCCTGGCACTCGGCCGGTCGGCTGGTCAGACTCGGCTGGTTCGTTGAATTTTCCGCTTGAACCATAGCCGCCTTAGTTAGTATGGTGTATGGCTGCTTTAAACTCACACACACACACACACTCTTCAACAGCCAGCTTTTAATACACCCGCCTGGCGCATACGGTAGGCATACAAACTCAATTGTAGGGTACTCGTTGCTGTCGTGGCACTTTCGTGCGCTACTTGAATTTTGAAAATTTGCTTTTTCGCTACATGTCCGTCAACTCAGTTCGTTATTATCGCACATATGTATGTATGAAAATTTGTATGTTTGTTTGGTAAATGCATGCATTCGTTTGCTCGTTCATTTGTGCGGTGGTTCGTTGGTTCAGCGGTTCGTTCGTTCTTTCGTTCGCTCGATATTCTGATTGAATTTTCCAACTTAATACGAGTGGCTGGTTTTCCTACTTGCCGTTAGCCGTCCTTTTTCAGTACGCTATTGAGTTTTGTGTAGTTAAGTCAGAAAATATTTCGTATAGTTCTCGTCTCTCGTGTGACATTCTCAAAGTTCTCAGAAAACAAAATATCAAAAATACAACATAGAGCCAGCAAGCAAAGCAAAGCAAAATATATTCAAGCATAGATTACAAAAAAAAAAAATAAATAATAATAAACAAAAATTGTTTAATAGAGAAATTTAAATATTTGCGAATTTAAGCAAATCATTCTTTTGTATATGTAAGCTAAATTTAAATAACAAAACAAAATTTAAACGGTATCAAAAAATATTCAAACCGAAAACAGAAAATTAAGTTGAAAAGCAAACAAAAGCCAAAAGCTTTTCAAGTGGAATTGGTGAAGAAGAAAACAACATAAAAATCTTTTGTGCAAATTTATTCAGCGGAAAACAACGTAACGTATTTTTAATTTTCAAATAGTGTTCAACACGAAAATGCCCAAAACATACAAAAACGGAGCACACACACACACCTACATATTCATTCAGATATACTCAACTTATAAATACTTTTAGTGCGAAATTTGCCATACGACGTGTTTCAATTCAAAATTTAGTAACGGTTATTGGGATATGCAGAAAGCTTTAAAGCGTGCGTAATTTTGCAGTGATTTTAATTTTTTAATGCTATATTTCAAACATTTTTAGTGAAGTAATTTTTAAGAACAAAGAAGAAGTGTTTGAGATTCAGTTAGAAATATTTGATTTATTATCTTGATATTTTTGAGCCCCTTACTTTACCACAAAGAAATATTTGAAGTTCGAGAAATTTTAGCCCAGAAAAATTTTTAGCATATCACATCTGAAAAATTTAGAGTTAAATATTTCTGAATATCAATACATTTATGGGCTTTCCAAAAACAACTTCACCTAAATTAAAAGAAAAAAAATATTTTGAAAAATTCCAAAAAAAAATTATCAAATTATTAATATTTTTCTAATATAATAGTTTTTTAAAACCCAGACTTGCATTAGAAGAACTTAATTTATCGGGATTTAACAGTAAAATGAAAAAGGCTTTTTCTTATCTTAGCAAAAACAAAGTTTTAAACGATAAGTAAAATTTTTATCGAACTTCTCAACTTTTTTGTCTAAACTATTTTTATAAACTATTCCACACCATGAATTTTTCGCCTTGGCTCGAACCAACGAGAGTTTGTGGTGCCAATTAGAAAAAGAACGAGCTTTTTCATTCTATCAGTTGTTAGAAAAAATTAAAAATAATTTTTTTTGGAATTTTTTATAAAGTTAGTAAATAAATAATAATAATAATAATAATAATAATAATAATAATAATAATAATAATAGTACGAAAATATGGAAACCTTAAAAAATGCATATTTGATTTGAAAAAAATTAAACACACTCATTGTTAAAAAAATATTAAATTTATTTTAAAGGGTCGTATTAAAAGACAAGACATTAAAGAACATAACTCAAAATATGAAACATTAAAAAGTTACAATCAACAAATTTTACAAAATAAAGTTTTTATTCTAGTTGACATACAATATATAAAGCTTTTCCTAAATGACTTTGCGCCAACTACAAAAACGCTTCTAAGTTTTTGAGATTTTTTAGCTAAAAAATTGCGCAAAAGTATTTTCACATCAGCAATTTGTTAAAAAATATATAAGAGAATAAATTCCTAACTAATGAAGATTTTTCGACTAGTGTTGAAAAGTTTCAAAATTGTTGCATAATTGAAAAATTAAATTATCTTTAAAATGATTTATAAATAAAATGAATTTGAAATCGCATATTACCCAATGTGTAAAAAATATGTGTAAAAAATACTAAATAAATATTAAGACATGAGTTTAAGCACACTAGAATCTTTTTTAATTTCGATACTAGATAAATGGGTTTTTTAATTTTAAAAATTACGAAAATTTAGGGGCTTATTTATCTGTTAATAAATTCAAAGGAAAAAAAACTAGACAAACATATCAAAATTTTTTAAACGTATATATTCACATATTCATTTTTCGAAGAATTTGAAACTAAATATGTAAGTTTAACTTTAAAAAAACTATTTTTTATAAAAAGAAGAAATTCAATAAATTAAGAAAACTCAAAAAAGGTGAAAAATAAGACAGTTTTTAACCCTTACAGACGAAAGACGTCGAACACACTAAAACTTTAGAAATTTGAAATAAAATTTCAAAAGTTTTTTATGAAATATTTTTTGAGTTTACTCTTTTTTTTCCTTACGTTTTCCAAGATTTTCTTAAAAAAATAAATTTGTTTGAAAAATTGGTTTACAGAAAATTTTTGCTACAAAATTTTGTAAAATAACGACTTGTGAAAAAAAATCAAAAAAGGATAAAAAATAAGACAGTGTTTAACCCGTACAAACGAAGGATGTCGATAATACTAAAACCTTCGAAACTTTAAATAAAATGTCAACACTTTTTTTATGAAATATTTTTTGAGTCGCAAGTTTTCCGTGTTTTTCTTTGCATGTTCCAAGAAATTCTTTAAAAATTAAATTTTTTGAAACATGGTTTACAAAAAACTTTTCGAAAAAATTGTCTAAAAAATTTTTGTGTATCTATTTCAGATAGGAAAAATATTAATTTCACTTATCTAAAAATTTATACGTACATATGTATTATGCATATACAGATTTTGAAACGAAGCGAAAGAATTAGCTTTGAAATTAATAACAATAAAAAGTATGATTTTATTTATTTTTTTTAAACAAAAAAAATTTCTTTTAAAATCATATGCGACAAAATTTCGTGCAAAGCGGTTTTCAAATTTCAAATATTGTAAAAAGCTATCTATATACACTATTAAATAACATTTTTTAAGTGAATTTTAATTAGGAAAATAAGTAAATTTTAAAATATTAGAAAATGTGGAAAAATCTTAGAGTTTGTTGCTATAAAAATTTTACTTAACATTTTAAAATGAAAGTAATAACCACTGGCTCAAAAACATTAAAATTTACTGGCGTAAAAAATTTAATATAAAATTTTGAAAGAAATTTTATTTATGAAAACGATAGTCACTGGCTCATAAAGTTGTCTTTGGAATTTATTACCGTACGAAAAAAACTGTATTTTTCCTTTTGAAAAATAAAATGATTTTCAAAAAATCTGGTAAAATTTTATTTTCAGACATATAAAGATATATATCTGGTAAAAAAAATTTAAAAGGGATTTTAAATACAAAAACTATTTCTTGTTAAAAAAACTAAAATATTTCTTAATTATACCTCTCTGCCAAATTCAAAAAATTCCTCTCAGCAACGATTTTCTTCGTTTTTATAAAAACATACTTATGAATATACTTAGTATAAATTGCTTGTCTTCTATCCATGTTCGAAGTTTTTCCACTTCTAAATCACGAGTATTTTAGTTTGTTTTCTTTTGCTGGTAAATACAAGTGTCCATAAAGTAAACATTTTAAATTTGGACGCAACAATCTAGTTTGAAATTATAAACAAATTAAAAAAGTAGGACTATTTAGTATACATAAATATTTCGGAGGTGCATACATATGTAGCAGTAGGTAAGCACAGGCGGAGATTTGTACGTGTAACATGTTTATAATTTACACACAGCAAATTGCTTGCTGATTGAAATTCAATTGTCGGGAATAGAAAATATTAGAAAATGTAAAAATATTTCTCCAGAACAGTTTGCGTTTGCTTCAGTGTACTCAAGGAAAGCGCTAATTTTGAACTGATGATAAAATTGGTATCTAAGAAAAATGAGAAGTGGAAATTTATTTTCTATTCCTCAAAAATTGGCCCACGAACAAATTCAGAGTTATGCCCAGTTTCTACTAGGCATTGAAATGACAAAAAATAAAAAATAAAAATGCCATCTGTAAACAAACTTAAAGACTATTTTATTAAAACAGAGACACGGGTACTTTTCAGGCCCAACATTGTCATTTAAAATTGTGTCATTTAATCTCAAGTGGAAATTCAGCATAAAATACTATTATTTTTTACGAAAATTTTTCATTAACGTTTTTGCCTTTTAAAGCTTTGTGAAATTTAGACATTATACTTTTATATTATTCGAATGCCAAATTTCCACTAGTAATTGCAATGACCAAAAACAAGTTTGCCATTTCAAAATTCCATATGAAAAATGGCTTTACAAGAAAAAATTTTGAAGTCCTAAAAATTGTATTCACTTTATACCCAGTGAAAATGCGGCTTAAGTATTTGAAGCAGTTGAAAAGTTTCTTGTTTTAAACCGAAGGATTGAATAAAAGTTTCGCATTTTTATTATAATAATATGAGCGCTAAGAAAACTTTTAATTTAGAAAAATTGCACATTTGAAAATTTCAAGGCATTGAATTTGAAAATGTTTAATATTATCAAATTTGACTCACAGATGTAGAATATTTCCATAAATATAGTCTCCAAATGAAAAAATATGTATTCAGAAAACACTTTTTTGTGTCCAATAACATCAAAAATTTTGTAATTGAAAATTGCAAATTTTGGAACCATGGTAATTTTGGAAAAGAGGCACCATACAGATTAAAAAACTTTTATTTTTAAATCTCAGGAATTTGAAAATCTTTAAAAAATTAGAAAAAAGCTCAATAACATTATTCCAAAAGAAAAAAAATCAGAAATAACTTATTACCCTTAAGTTAAAATTTGAAAAGTACACATTTTCGAACTAGACATACTTTTGGAACACGAGAAAATTAACAATAATTAAAAAAATATGTAATTTCAACAAAAAACTACTAGGACTATAAAGTAAGGCAGTTTTAGGAAATAACACTGTAAAAAATATTTTACAACTTAGAAATCTGAAAATCTATAAAATTAAAAGGTTTAGTAACATTAAAAACTTCAAACTTCAGCATTTGAAATAATTTTTTAATATTCAACTATTTCAAAATCTTTTACTTTATCAACTCTAAAATTTTGAAAACTAAAAATGTTGAAAGATACAATTTTTTTGGACTATACATACAACTTAAAAATTCTGAAAAATGTTGTATATAAAAAAGTTAATAAGACTTCAAAAATAAGTCAACAAAATCTTTAAATTTTTTAAAAATTATTGAAACTAAAATATTTAAAACTCTGAAATCTGAAAATCTTCAAAAATTAAAGGTGCAATAACCTTTAAAATTTTAAACTTTTCATTTTTAATAATTTTTTAGTAGTTAACTTTATAGAAACATTTCTAATTTATCATCTCTACAATTTTAAAAACTCAAAATTTTTTATGCTACCACTGTTTTGACAGTTTAAAAGCTCTTAAAATGGTTGTATATAAAGAAAGTTAACACTAAAGAAAAATTTATTTGAAAATAACAAAAATGTTAAGAGTACTTCAAAAATAAGTCAACAAAATCTTTAAAACTTTTAAAAATTCATGAAACTAAATATTTTCGCCAAAAAAAAATCAAACTTATAAATCTTTCAAAAAATATAGGTTCAATAACATTAAAAATTTCAAATAATTTTTTAGTATTTTACTTTATCAACTGAAAACTCAAAATTTCTTAAGACAAACAAATTTTAAATTAGCACTGTTTTGACAGCTTAAAGGCTTTAATAAAGGTTGTATTTAAAAGGGTTCGGTTAAAAAAAAATATTTGCAAACAACACAAAACTTTGTAAGATTTGAAAAACGTGTCAAAACATTTTTTAAAAAAAATTTAAAATTTTTGAAACTGAAAATTTTCACAAAAAATTTTCAAAACATACAAAAGAGTTAAGGATTAAAGAAAATAAAGAAATTGGAAAACTAGATCAGCATAAAATTATAAAAATTCATGAAGCTCTGAAAATGTTTGCAAATAAATGTTTAAAACATTGCAGGCTTAGGAAAATGAAAAAAAAAATCTTGTCCGATGAGACACTTAAAGTACAGGCATTTACCACATACTTTGCAAACTTTTCGAACAATTAATTTGCATAGTTTACTGAGGTTTTTCCGCTCTTAAACTAAAACAAAAAAAGTTAAATGCGCATTTTATATTGCAAACAATTCGAATTTATTTATTGCCAATTTATTAATGCACCGTCCGCCTGGCAACTTTCGCCCATACTGCATAGCTGACTTTTGTAGCGAAAGATATTTATGTACGTTTATTATTATAATTGCTTCAACGTACATATGTATGTATACTTGTATAAATACAACAGATATACCCAAATACATACCGGTTACACATTTATATGTATGGAAATGAGCAAAGAGTTGTGTATGTAAAGCGTGCCTTCGATTCCAAAATCGCCGGAGTATTTTATGCATTTACGCCAAATTCTTGCCATTTGATTTTTCTCACTCGATTGGAAAAACATTTATTCAGCTGCCAAGTGATTTGAAAAGTGTAGACTCATTCGTTTTTCGCTGTTTTTCACGAAAACAATTTCGTTAGCTTTTCTCCTTCTTAATTCGGTTCGGTTCGATAAATTTGTGTTTTTTCTCGCTTTCGACTAATTTAACTATAAAATAATTTCACATGTTCGGCACTTTTCGATTGTAATTTTTTGCTTTTCGTGTTTGCACTTTCCAAACTGCTAACATTTAGTATTCGTTTTCCGCGCATGATTATTTAGTGGTTTTATGGGCGAAAAAAAAAATTGATTGTTTCACATTTTTCATGCTTTTGTTTTGTTGTTTCTAATTTTTTGATCTGTTCTATATCAAAGAATTTCACCTTTGTACTTGGTGGTAAATAATATTTGAATGTGTGTAACGTTGTATATGAATGATTTGTTTTTCAAAGCTCAACGATTTTTGCTGGTATCTATGCAGGAAATTACTAAATTTTTAACAATAAATATTAGAAGAGAAGCTCTGGAAACTAACGCATGAAATATATGCCGAACAATTTAAATATCGCTGCAGTAGATTGCGAATATGCAAGTAAATGATAACAAACTTCCTTTTGAAAAATTAATAATAGCACATTTAAGTGTCGAGATAAAAAAAATATTTCTGAAAGGTTTGAGCTTTTTTTTATACAAACTTCCTTGGCGAATCCGCTGACCTAGACAATTTTTTAAATGTTTCTATTTTTTGGCCTAATAGAACATTCCCCTACTATCAGTGGATATTGGGTGCTTTCCTTGACAGACTGATTTTAGCTAGAAGCTTTTGAGCTCTCGACGCTCATGTCGAGAATTTTACTCAAAAAGTAAAATCGCTCTTCTGGGTTCTTTCGGCTTAAAAGCTCAACGCAGAAGTAAAACGAGATAAACTTTAAATCAGAGCTTTTGCATATCAAAAAATAAAAATAAGAGTCCAACTTGATAACTAAACTTACTTCATTTCGATTTCAACCAATAGCAAATTTGGAGTTTAAAGTATTCTATTTAAGAGCTTAGTAATAATAATAGATTGGCGCCTACACATATGTTAGTGTTTGGCCGAGCCTCTCCTCCGACTTTTGGCGTGCGCCTTGATGTTGTCACACAAAGCGGAGGGACCTACAGTTTGACGCCGACTCCGAACGGCTATTGTATTTTTATGAGAAGCTGTTTTTCATGGCAGAAATACACTCGGAGGTTTTCCATTACCTGCCGAGGGACGACCGCTGTTAAGAAAAAGCCTTTTTTCTATATTTTTTTGCGATGTTGCTTTGACCAGGCTTTGAACCCAGGCGTTGCGGAGTGGAAGCGCGCACTGCTTTCCACTACACCACAGCGGCCGAGCTGTATGCCAATAAATAAACTGGAGAGCTGAAATGGCTAGTCTCAAGAGCCCAGCAAAATAACTCATAAACGTTTTCACTCTCACTTTATGATATGAGCCAAGCTCGCTCAAGGAATTCTGTTCGAACTGGTGCACAACTCGACTCACTTAACTCGGAAACAAAACTTGCAAGCTTCGCTGGTAACAAGTGCCTTCAACAAGTCAATTCCTCAACACTTCAAAAACTTTTTGTCCTCAAAGAAATTAAAAAAGTTAAGTTAGAGAGGAGAGAAAAAATAAAAATGAGAAATACCTCAAGGAAAAATCTCTAGCATTCAAAAGCATTAATTTTCCAAACACACAAAATATTAATATGTACACAAAAAAAAATGTTCTACCTCTTTAATAAAATTTTCTAATTTTTTCATTGACTGGTTTTTTAAAGAAAAATTAAAAAATTACTTTTTAGTCAAAATATTAAAAATTTCAAAAGACTTCAATTCAAAAATATAAAAACTTTTTTCAAACAATTGTAAACGATATTTTTGGAAGAGGCGTTATCGTATAGAAATTTCCAAAAACTTTTTGCTGAAAACATTGCAAGCAAATTTTATAAATAAATTTTTATTTTTCACAAAATTTAAAAGGATTTCGGTAAGTATTCTTTATTAAAAATTAATTATACTCTTAAAAAATGTTATCAAAATTTAAATACTTTTTAACAAGTCTCAGGGGTTTCTATGAAAAAAAAGTGCATGAAGTTAGCAAATTTTGAATTGAAGCGCCTTCCGAATTTTTCGCTACATACATATGTATGTATTTAAATTTTTCTTCGTGATTTATTTGTAACAAATCGAATTTTCTCTCTTTCACAAAAGGCATTTCAATTGATCAAAAGTGAAACCGAAGTTCACAAAAAACATTTAAAATCGAACAGCAGCAGCGAACTGCGGTCAATAGCGGTAAATTAAATAAAAAGTACTAGAATTAAATTTTTCAAGCCAACATTTGGTGCGCATAAAGAGCAGTGGTGTGAATAATAAAAAGAAAAAATAAACAAAGAGCATATAAAAATCAATTGGAATAAATTTAACTGCACATAAAAACATCAAGTTCATTAAAAACCAAATCAACACTTGAATAAATAAAATTCAATAAAGTTCGAAAGATAGGTAATTCATTATACGCACAGTCAAAGTAAGTAAAAGCGAAACCAATAAACTCTTTTAAAATTACAAATCGCTAAAAACAATAGCACAAAATCATAATCAAAGCGAGAAGCAAGCAAAAAGCTAAAAACCAAATATCTCAGAAAAATCTAAATATATACGCTATAAACAGCTGAAAATATAAATATTCCAAAACCGAATAAAAAACTTGAATTAAACCATTTCTTAAATAAAACATTTCAAATGTGCAGAGTGTAAATCAAAAACACAGCAGAGGCTAAAGAAATTTAAAAATAACCTTATTTTAAGAAATATAAAAATAAAGCTTTTCCAAAAAATTTCAATCTAAACAAAGAAAACTCGAGAAATTGTGAAAAAAACGCAATTGCAAGTATTTTTTCGTGCAACTGAAATCAAATACAGAAATCAATAAAGTAGCAAAAACAGGCAGAATAAATTTTCTCCAGTTCACCAGAGTAAAAAAAACACGCGGCAAGTAACATTTGCGTAAAGGAAAAAATATATAAAAAAATTTCAAACACATCATCAACACTCCAAAACCAGCCAAATCTAGCGACAAATATAGAACAACCAAAAGCTGCGAGTTAGAAAAAATAAATAAATTTTCGTGAACAAAAAAAATTGGTGAATAATAAACCAAAGGAAAATTCGAAAAAGATCAATAAGTGAGCGTCAATAAATCAAATTTAATGCAAAACCAACGATAACAAATGTACGTTGTTTGTTAAGCTAAACCAGCAAAAATACATTTACTTCAACAACGTACTATAAACAAGTAACCAAAAACCAACAACAACAATTTACAACAAATTCGCTCATCAACAACAGTGTCAGTGCAGAAAAAAAGCGTTCCATATGGTTCATATTATCGAATTGGTCGGCCAGCCGAAGGTTGAGTTTGCTCAACAAGTTACTGTGAGTATACATACACACTTTGTATAGAAAAAATACAGTTTTTCCGCTAGAGAAGATATAAAAATTATATGGGGTAAACGAAAAAAGAGGCATGGAAATAAAAATAAGGCGAGAAGTGGGAACATTCTTGAAAAGTTGATTCAATTAGTTTTAAGAAATTTGTGAGATAAAATTTTTTTCTCAAAATTATATAAATAGCCGAATTCAGTATTGGTGACAAAACTTTTGTAACTGAAAAATTGAAAAAGGGAAAATTGAATTTTTTTCGCTTTTTAACTCTATTGGCCGAAGCAGCTCCAACCCAGCAAACAAATTTAACCATTTTTATATATTTTTCCGTAAAAAAACCTGATACAGAATACAGCTGAAAATATGACTACATATTTCATTACAAATTAAAAGGAAAATGAACCCTAATTTTTTATGCGTTTAGTTACCTGTAAAGAAATAACTTAAGTAAAACTTTGTTTTTTACATTTGTTAATTTAGTTTATTGAAGTCAACTTCATTTAAAACCTATTGCTATATATTTTTTTAACTTTAATCTTTGTTAAATTTTTTTGTGTAATTAGTTTTTATTTTTTTATTTTATTTTATTTTTTTATTTTATAAAGTTATTTTATTTTACTATACGTTAATTTACTTTATTTTAGACACTTCACTTCGTTTTATTTTTTAAGATTGTTAATAACATAATTTTAATTTAATTAATTAATAATTTTAATTTTAATAAAATTTTATGTTTTTAATTTGCTTTTATTATTTCATATACTTTTTTAATCTCCTTTACTCTATTTTACTGTTTGATTCATTTATTACTATTTTTTATTATTATTTGATTCATTTCATAATTTTTGGTATCATTATTTCCATTTAGGCTTAATTTTATATTAAATTTAATTTTACTTAATTTTGATAATTTTTTTCTTTTTTGCTTAATAAATTTATTTAATTGCTCTTCCCTTATTTTACTTAATTTTTATTTTATTTATTTTTTTATCTATTTTTATATACTTATTTTATTTTTATTTTGCACTTATAATTTTTTTCTTGTAGTATAATTTACCCCATTTATTGAGCTCAAATAAAATGTAATAGCTCTAATCACTCGTACAATCCTAGCAAGCGGCCGCGATAGCGCCTCTGTATATACATACATATGTATGTATGCGTACATGGCATACTTTTAGGCTATTACTCGTGCTCAATGAGTGCTCTATCACTTGCCAAGCGCAACAAAATGCATGCTTCGAAAAAAAATCCAGTATAAAAGTCTATATATTTACATAGATTCATATATGTATACGAATAAGTGAAACCTTGCTTAAGTATGTGTATGTGTAAGTATGTATGTTTTTCGTATGTGTCTGTGTCCATGCACTTGTGGTCGGGGTGTGGCGCTTATAAAAGTATATAAAATATAATAAATCTTCTCGTATAATCACGTAATATGTGACTTGAACCTAAGCAACTAACATACAGCGTTTGGCGTACCTTCATACTCTCATACATACATATGTACACAAGTAAAAAACATAAAAAATATTAATAACAAAATTTTCCCTAAGACAAATTTATGTATATTCATAATAGTATCTTATAAGAAAATGTACACTGAGCAAAAATTTTAGTTGCGGCAACCAAGTATGTTTCCCTCCACACATAATTTAGTTATATGTAGTTACCAAATCTTTTGTTCAGAGAAATATACTATTTAGTTGACGTAACTAAACTCTTTGCTCAGTGTAGAAAAAGCGCAAAAGTTTTGCCCGGCAGGCTTGCTGCTTCACTCATCCACAATACACCAATACATTCTCATACTTAAGCTTAGGCTTTTATGCGTGCTTATTGAAATTACATATATGAACTCTCCATTTTATTAGCTTCCCTGCCACATATTTTCGGCTTTTCGGCTTTTTTACCTTTTGTCCTTTTACGTGTCCCTTGCCATCTGCCTTGCCTGTTGTCTGTTCACTCCTTCTTTAGCAGGCAACATATTTCAACAATTAATCATCACGGCGCTGGTTCATGAAGTTACTTATAGCAATTTGTTGCAGTAACAACTATATTTATTTGTCTTACTGGATTTTATAAACCAAAGCTAAGTATTTAGCAACTAGAAGCAACAACTTATTTAGTCTCGGCTAACAACTTGCGTGCTTGTCTAACCTTCTCCTCCTTCTCTCATGGTTAATGGGCGTTGCAAATTTGAAATCTCTACGTAGTTCTAGACGTCGCACTATAGGCAAAACAATAGTTTTTTTTTTCAAAATCGTAGATCTTCGGTTAGAAAAGAGATAATGGAATGAAACTTTTTTTATCGTGAAGATAAATGATCATATACTGTAAGAAAACTATGAAGAAGTTACAACAACAATAACTTAACCCTCAAAATACTGTTCAAAATGTCACTTTTTTTTTTTGAAATTTTGAATTTTGGCTCCCATTCTATTAGAAAACACTATATTTGATACACCATTAGCACTGTTTCTGAAAGATTTCTCTTTATTTTATCTTAAAACCCTATTTTTGGGATACTGGATGCTGTACTCGAGTGGCCAGATTGGAAAAATAAAAGCTTCCTTTGACGGTATTTTTATTTGTCCGTCGAATTATTAAAGAGTCCAAGGACTTGTCGCGAAATATTTACACTTATCCATATCAGCTCAAAAAGAGTGGTCAAAGTACCTTCGGCTTCCGTAATAGATAACTTCTAAAATGACGATAGTAGACGAATTCGTTATTATAAACGGCTCGACTAAAGATGTTTTAAAATGAAGAATAATATCAAAGAGTATGTTCAGAAGTCGCACCGTCTTCCAGGCTAATTCAGACTCTGAGCACACACCAGTTAAGTACTCAGTTATCTTATATCTGTTACTTTCTTAATATAATGACCTCCTTCCTGTCGAAATTATAACCAAATAGTCCGGCCTGTCTAAAACACGCTACCACACCCCAGTGGATTCTCCGTTCACAGTACTCCAGTTCAGTAAATATGGCTCTCGAAGAAAAGTGACTACGACCCCGCTGCCAGCAGTTTAATCATGTCAAAGCAGCTTTCAAGAAACCAAAATTTTATTATCCTGTTGGAGAGAACCCAGATGTCTGTTTGGCTTTCTGAAAACATAACTGAAACATGATAACAGATAACAGTCTGTGTGGCAATGTAAATCTCTAGGGACCCCTTTGACAAGTCTTGCTGATATGTGATTTTCAATTAGAACTTTCTGCAAAAGCAGATTTTCTTGCCTGTGGAATCAGAAAGTCATAAACTGGCAAGAGTTTCGGAAAAAATAAATAAATTTAATGGTAGAATATGATTCGGCACTAAAATTTTGAACGTTATTTCTTGTTCTTAAATAAGAGGTTTCCGGAACAAAAAAGAAAACTAGCTTCTCATAGATTATTCTGTAATTTTTAAAATAAAGGTCGCTTATTCCTTAATTTATGGTACGCAAAGCAGATTTGTAACTGAAAATAAAGGAATAAGCGATCTTTATTTTAAAATTTATCACATTTGAAACTATTTTATGTAGGTAAGTACAAAAAACTCTCATGGCCTCATTTATGATTCATATCCTGAATAACTTGGTTTATTAATCGAAGCTCATATCAGTTAGGAGCTTTTCTCGATGAATGAAAATTATTTGTAACTGAATTTTAACCCCACTCATGTGTTCATGGGTCAAAATTGCCCAAAAGCAGGAAAATCTTGAATATATTAAGCTGTCACAATGTTGTTCATACTATGAAATACAATTCTGTGAGTAAGGTTCAAAAATGTGGCGCTGTTGTCGGATTATTTGTTGTACGAATATTTATTGGCTGATTTTGCTCATTTTTGAAAATAATATTGACCATTTTAGGATAAAAAGTGTTTCTAATCAAATACCCGCGAGGTGGCGCTGGAGTCGAGACATTTATAGAAATTTTAATTCAGTGTTCGAAATCTGCTCCGAAAAAGCTGTAAATTTTCGAACTTGTAAACCTTTAATAGTTTCATGAATTCTAGCTCCAAAGCCTTCAGCTTCCATCTTCTACCTCACTTCGATGATACATTTACTTAACTATTATACATTTTTATCCTTAAAAATCAATTTACCAAAAATCGCTCTTCATTTTTCAGTACTAAATAAGTAACTGCTTTACTTCCTTTTAAATTAAACTTTCTGCTGACTTACAAAAGTCACTTGCCTTCACAATAACCTTGATATTAAATTAACTAAATCCACGCCTGGGAAATTTCCATTCAGCACAACTCCAAGCCACCCTTTAACAAATTTCGTCAGCTCATCAAATTTCAAGCACACAAAATTGCGTCGTCTCCTGTCTTATCTAAAAGTGCACACTTTTATCAGCGCATTTACATATGTACATATGTACATACCTACATTTTGATATTAGCCGACATGAAGTAGTATATTTAAAGGACAACCCGTTTACCTATTTATAGACTTTTAGCTATGTACTCCACGCTACACTTTTACATTTTTATAAACAACGACGGCTTTTACGTTTTTTTTTGCAACTTTTTTTTCGTTCACAAAAAAGTTAGATTAGCAAGCTGGTGATGGACTGGGTCGCCTAAAGGCTTATTTACATGCATAAATATACATAAATACGTATAACTTCGTACATGTACGTTAGGGTGGTCATCGAAAATGCTTTTTTTGGGGAAATTTCAAGACCCTACCCCCTAATTTTATTCGATTTTATGAGAAATATTATTGCCCATTTTTATAGATTTTTTAAAGGTCATTTAGAGGTCGCGACCAGTCGATTTAGGTCGGAAAATAGGATTTTGTAAATTTATCAGTTTTTGAATAACTATTTTTTTTATTCGATTTCAAAAATCTAATATGATATGAGAAGAGAATATATAGGCATTTAAAATGGTATATAATGATCTATTGTCGAACTAGGCTTGTTGAGATTTTTTATCGGGTAAATTAAAAAAAAAACATATTCCTCTTGAATTTTGACCATCGATAATTTCC